AGGTGCTCTACCACTGAAGAATTCATCTTCTCATGCTCCAGCCTCCCATTGTCAGTAAGTGCTTGTGTGGTATATGTATGTCCTGGGTTCAATCTCTAACACTACAAAAGTATAAAAAAGAAAAAGAAAGGAGGAGGTAAGGGAGGGAGAGAGGAGGGAGGTAGAGTGGTCAGGAACTATGGTGTAGATTTGGTGGTCAAGAGTCCCTCTGATGTATACAGGACAGACCTGTGATCCTCAGGCTTCTCTCCTTGCTGCTGACCACCAGCCACCTCCTCCCCCTTCTCTCTCAAACATAGCCCAACCTCCACTCTGGAGCAAGAGTCAGGTCTTTTGTTGCCATAACAACCACATCCCAGCAGTAAAAATAGTAACTTATTTTTTATTCAACTTCTTTAGCTGATGGAGGTGGAAATATTCATTTCTAGACTTCAAGTTTTATTCCAGGGGTTTCCTAGTGGTCTCCACAGGCCCATTGTCAAGACCAGCTTGAAAAGTGGATAGCAGTGAGGTAGACAAACAGTCTAGGCCAAGGAGGAGGTCTGATTCAGGCCTCCTAAGAACCATGGCTACCAGTGACCTCCTGGGCTCTTACTTGAACTCTGTGAGAGAGGTTCAGGCCATGTCAAGAGGGACTCCAGTTGAGGCTGAGAGTTGGGGCGGAGATGCTGCTGGGAGGTAGACAGGTAGGTGTCAGCGCGTCTGATGGAGAGACTTGGACCTGCGGGTCAGCGCTGGGTGGACCTGCGGGTTAGCGGTGGGCTGTGCAATGTGTCGCTCAGCTCTCTGCGCTTCTATTTGGTTTTGTCTCCTGAAGGTCAGCAGAAGTTACCAGCGTTTCTGGGGGTTGTGTTTGACAGTGAACTCAGGGTGCAGAAAATGAGATTCAAACACATACAGCCTGAGCCCATGGACCATGTCCTTCAGGAATGTTTTGGTCCCCCTGAATTCCAGTATCACCCATTCATACCAAACCACACTGACCTCATAACTCTGGCTCACTCTGGTGTGTGTGTGTGTGTGTGTGTGCGTGTGTGTGTGTGCATGCACACTTGTCCACATGGAGGCCACAGGTCGAGATTGGATGTCATCTTCATTGCTTTTTTTTTTTAAATAGAGGTTTATAATTTTTATTTTATGCCATGAGTGTCTTCCCTGCTTGTATGTATGTATGTGCACTGCAGGCATGTCTAATGTCCACAGAGGCTGGAAGAGGGTACCAGATCCCCTAAACCTGGAGCTAAGGGTGGATTTTAGCTACCATGTGGGTGCTAGGAACCAAACCTGGGCCCTCTGCAAGAACATCAAGCTCTCTTAACATGACGCCATCTCTGTCCACTACCTAATTCTTTGAGACAAAGTTTCTCATCAAATCTGAAGCTTACCAGCTGGGCTAGGCTGGCTGGCCAGAAAGCTCCATGAATCTAACTGTCTCTGTGTCCCTAGAACTTGGGTTATAGTTACGTGTCACTGTACCCAGATTATATGTGAGTACTGGGGATTTGAACTCAGGTCCTTATGCTTGCATGGCAAGAACTATGTGCAAGAACTTTGCACATTAAGTTGTCTCTCCAGCCCCCTATTCTGGGTTTCCCCCTTCTCCTCCTCCTCCTCCTCCTCCTCCTCCTCCTCCTCCTCCTCCTCCTCCTCCTCCACAACCACCTTCTCCTCTCTCTCCCCCCTCCTCCCTCCTCTATTGTTGTCATCTTACTGTGCAGTTCAGGTTACTCCAGAACTCAAGGTCCCCTTGGTTCAGCCTCCTGAATTCTGGAATTACAGATTTTAACCACCACATCTGGCTTTGTCAGTCAATTTCACCATGACTTTCAAACTTGTGTCTCCAACTTAATTAGGATACATAAGTATAAATAATATAAGTAATATAAAATAAATAACAGCCTTCTAGCCGTTACTTCTGCCTATTTTTTCTTTCTTTCCTTTTTCTTTTTTATTCTTTTTTTTTCTAGTTTTAAGACAAGGTTTTTTTTCTGTGTAACTCTGGCTGTCCTGGAACTCACTCTGTAGATCAGGCTGGCCTCGAACTCAGAAATCTTCCTGCTTTTGCCTCCCAAGTGCTGGGATTAAAGGCGTGCACCACTACTACCTGGCCTTCTGTCTCATTTTTAAAATTAGTTTTAAAAGTTAGCATAAAGAAGAATTAGTTTAATTGTGACACTTTTGTTAGTTCTTTTTCACCCTTGTATACTAGGGACTGAATTCAGGATCTCACACATGCTAGATAGACTTTCTACTGGTAAGCCACACCTCCCAGCCCCTCACTGGGGGATTCTAGGCAGGGGCTCTACCACTGAGCTACACCCCAGCCCCTCACTGGGGGATTCTAGGCAGGGGCTCTACCACTGAGCCACACCCCAGCCCCTCACTGGGGGATTCTAGGCAGGGCTCTACTGGAGTAATATGCCCTACTCTTTTGATTTCTTCATTGAGATCTTACTAAATTATTTTGGCTGGCCTTAAAATATCCTGGCTGCCTTTGTATCCCAAGTGCTGGGATGCGCATGCTAGGTGTCTTGAATTTCTAAGCTAACATCTGAAGCTGGTCAGCCTCCTCATTTAAACACCCCAGGGCCCTCCCTTTTGCCTCTTCCTTCAGCATTCTCATCCTCCTCAACCCTCCTCCCAGGTACCGCCCCTCCTGCCACGGTCTCCTCCTCACCATCTCCCTGTAACCCTCTGGCTTTGCCCACCCCCGGCTCAGCATTTGGAAGGCAGAGGTGGATCAGACAGTCTTCTTTTGTTTCTTGTTCTAGCTTCCTTGATCCCAGAGGATGTGGGTGGCTTTTTCTCAGTATTTCATGGGACATCAAACAAACATTGTTCTAACAAGAACCAGAGCAAGGCCACTTGGGAGGCTGAAGATAGGAGGACTGCAAGTTAAGGTCAACCCTGGCTACACAGTGGGTTCAAGGCCAGCTTGATCAAATTAGCCAGGCTACCTGAAAACGAAAAGTGAAAAGGGACCAGAGATGTAGCCTAACCACGGTCCGTCTAGCGTGTGCTGGGGCCTGGATTCAGCCTCCAGCACCGGGTAAAAATAAGTAAATTAAAAGGATTGGGAAGCTGTGGACTTGGGGAGGGGAAACTGTGGATGGAGTTGGAGAGGACTTCTCGTCAGCTTGGGGACTATCTGGTCACCTTGCGTACACGGTCAAGAAGCAGAGAGATGCCGGGCCATGGTGGTACACAAATTTAATCTCAGCATTGAGGCAAAGGCAGGTGGATCTCTGAGTTCAATGGCAGCCTGGTCTACAGAGCAAGTTTCAGGGCAGCCAGGGCTACCCAGAGAAACTCTGTCTTGAAAAACAAAGCCACCAGCACCACCAACAAAAAGAATCCAGGAGATAGGAATGCTGGCATTAAGTTTACAATATCTCTTTTATCCAAAGCCAGCACCCAGCCCAGGGATTGGTCCAGCCACTTTTAGGGTTGGCCTTCCTACCTTTTTTTTAGTTTTTTTTGTTTTGTTTTGTGTTTTTGTTTTTGTTTTTCGAGACAGGGTTTCTCTGTATAGGCCTGGCTGTTCTGGAACTCACTCTGTAGACCAGGCTGGCCTCGAACTCAGAAATCTGCCTGCCTCTGCCTCCCAAGTGCTGGGATTAAGGGCATGTGCCACCACTGCCGGGCTTTTTTTTTCTTTAGGTTTTTGTTTTCTTTTTTGTTTTTGTTTGTTTGTTTGGTTGATTTTTTTTGCCTTCCTACCTTAACCCAGCCAATACCATCCCTCACAGACATGTCTAGAGGTTAACTCTTTGGTGATTCTAGATCCTCCCAAGTGGAAAGTCAACAATAGTAACTATCATGAACATCGAAGACCATCTTGCCTCCAGAAGCTCCCTCAAGGGGTGTTCAAACTGTCCACAGACAGATCGGATTCCCACGTCCTGCCAAGAAGCCAAGGTCACCCTAAAGCAGAAAGCTGAATCTGGTGGCTGGTGACTTGGTTCAACAGGTAAAGATCCTTGTCTCCAAGCCCAAAGACCTGAGTCTTGTCCCTAAGTTGTACATGGTGTAGGGACAAAACCAACTCATGCAAGTTGCCCTCTGACCTCCACATGCATGATAAATACATAACCGTAGGAGGCTGGAGAGCTTGCTCAGCGGCTAAGAGTGCTTGCTGCTCTTCCAGAGGATTGGAGTTTGACTCCCAGCCCCCACTTCGGTTGCCTCATAACTGCCCTGAGCTCCCGCTCCTGGGGTTCCCACACTTCTGATCTCCAGGCACTCCACTCTCATGCACCCCCCCACACACACATAACACACATAAATTAAAAATAAATGTCTTAAAATATTATAATGCAACAAAATAATAATAAAAAGAAAGCTGAAGTTTGAAGATATGAAGACAGACTTGCGCTACAGATTCTGAACATGCCGGAGTGTCCCCATCTTGATACCGGGATGGAGACTGGATGCGGGTGGTTGGAGGGGAGTACGGGATGGGCGGCGGAGGGGGGTCAGGGGTGGAGGTGGAATGGAGGGGTGGAACAAGATGGTTCCTAGAGTCAGAGTCCTGGATGGTAGGGAGGATTCAGGGCTGACAGGCGTCTCAGAGGAGCACAGGGCTAAGATCCCGCAACAAGTAGATTGAGGGTGCCACCTGGTTCGGTCCCCAGACGTCCCCTGTGGCTTTGTAGTGTTGCCAAGATGTCCAGCGGTAACAGGCAGCTCAGTCTAGTCCAAGCTGTCTTCTGCTGGCTAGAACAGCGATGGGGTGGAGGGGTCACAGGGAGAAGCTAGCAGGAGGGAAGGGACCTCCCAGCCGGGCGATTGGCAGCGTGCGCCCGAGTCCCCCCCATATCCCGCCCCCGCCCCGCCCCCGCCACCATCTGCTCGGGATTTGTGATCCGGAGACTCCAGGCTCGGGGGCTCGGGGCTCCAGAGGCAACTGATCCGGTCTGCTTGGGGCCCTGGAGCTGTCCGAGGATCCGACACCCTTCCAACCTGCTGCGCCTCCTGAAGCCGCTCCCGGTGTTCCCGCGTCCCAGCCCCGGGCCGGGCGCTGATGGAACCGCGGCGATGTTCACTCTGGCCAGGCTGCTGGATTTCCAGAAAACCAAATATGCGAGGTGAGCAGAGGGTGTGGGGGTGATAGACTGGGGCCAGGACGTTGAGATCCCTCTTTTCCTGTTCCCACTGTCTGGAGAACTGAGCTCGATGCACAGAAGACCCCATTGCCTGAAGCTAGAACAACCCAGCGTCGTCTTCTTCGTAATGGAGTGGTAGTTGTCACCCCGCTTTTGCGCTCAGCGCAGCGGATTCTTCTTTTTCCCTGGGCGAGGAGCTTCTTCGGTCCAAAGTTCAGTTTCCACATTTGCGACCCCGTGAAGGGTGAGAGTCCCCACCATTCGGGACCACGGGAGGATTATATGAGATGATCCTTAGAAAGCACTTCGCCATGCCATCAGGGTGGGGGAACTGCTCCTTCCCGGTGGAGCTCTCTAGAGTCCTCCCTGAGCTCAGATCTCTTTTTTGTTTGAGTCAGGTCACACTATGATTGTCCTGGCTGGCCTGGAACCCTCTTTGTAATCCAGGCTGTCCTTTGACCTCACAGAGCTCTGTCTAGCTCTGGAGTGCTGGTCCTTCTTTTCCTGTTTTTGAAATAGACTTGCTACGTATAGGCTGGCCTTGATCTCACTGTGTAGCCCAGGCTTGTCTTGAGCTTAATTCTTTAGTCTTAGCTCCTGAATGCTAAAATTAGGGCTGGGTGTTCCCATACCTCACAGGAGTATACTTTAGTTAACATTTTGTATACTTGATTCCCATCTGAACACATTAACTGTGAGTTATTTTGCATTCTTTTTTAAAAATATGAAGTTTTCATTATCTGATGTCAATTTTGATTTGATGTGGTTGCCTTGAACGATTATTATTATTATAATTACTATTATTTTTATCGTATGTGGGGTTGTGTGCCCCACACACATATGGAGGTCAGACAACGTTGTGGAGTTGAATCTTTCCCCTTCTAACTATATGTGAATTCCAGGGATTGAACCCTGGTCTCCAGGTTTTTTTGGCAAGCTCCATGACCCGCTGAGCCATCTTGTCATGCCCTCAATGCTCCCCAGTCCCCAGTCCTTTTTTTTTTTTTTTGAAAGTGTCTCATTTTATAGCCCAGGCTTCTCTGAAACACACCATGTATCCCAGGCCAGCCTTATACAGGCAGCAGTCCTTTGGCCTCAGCCTCCTGAAGGCTGGGATTACAAGTGTGTGTCTGGCTGCATGTGGAGACATGGTTGCCTCTGGCAGCTGGAGAGGTGGGCCTTGGAGAAGAGATCAGGTCTTAGGAGACATAGCTGCTTCAGTTGAGTGAGTGCTAACTCTCAGATGGGATTAGCTCTGCCCAGGGCTGGTTGTTGGGAAGTGAGGCTGCCCATCCCCCTACCACCAGCTTGCCACTTCTCTGCACACCTGCAGATTTACTGCCCTTGAACTGAAGCCAGCAACGGACTTGGATGTTCCAGTCTCCAGAGCCTCTATTCTGGGGATCCTAAACTGACCTCTAGCTCACAGCTGGGAATGGTCTCAAATTCCTGATCCCTCTAAGTGCCGGGTTAGGTGTAAAGCACCACACCCAGTTTATGCAATGCTGGGGACTGAACCCAGTGCTTTGGGAGTGGTAGACCAGCATACTGAGCTACTCCTCTGGCCCAAGAGCTTCTAATTCTTTCAGCTAGCATGTCTCCGGTGTTCTGTTCTAGCCACAGAAAACAGATGTAGGGGCTGGGAAGAGAGCTCAGCTGGTGAGGGTCTTGCCACTCAGTAACAAGGGCTGTTTGAACCCCAATGCTCAAGATAGAAAACCGGATGTGGTGGCATCCTTGTGATCCTAGTGCCCGGAGGTGAAGCCAAGTGATGCCCAGATCTTGCTGCCCATCCTGTTCTGAATACTCAGACAGGCCCGGGGTCCCAGTGAGAGACCCCTGTCTCAAAAACAAGGTTGGTATTCCCCAAGGAAGAACTGGCCCTCTGACCTCCTTAGATACACACGCACACACTGGCGTATCCATGTATATGTGTATATACTGCTTTCCACGAACATGCATATACACCCTCCCTTACACACACAAAGATAATGGACAGACTTAGATAAAGTTGGGGAAGGAACACTGGGTGTTTCTTCGTTCTACCAATGTTATCTTCCCCCCTCTTTCACTTTTTCTTCCTTTCTCTCCTTTATGATTTGATTTCGAGACGCTGGGAAAAGAAGTCTTTATTTTATTATAGTGTTTTGTTACATTTGTACACGTGGGCGCATGGGCGCCGTGGCATCCATGTGGAGGTCACAGAACAACACAAGGAGCTCTGCTTCCTCCGCCCACCATGTGGGTGTCAGGGACTAAACTCGGATTGTCAGGGTTGGCAACAAATACCTTACCCACTGAGCCATCTTAACGGTCCCGACTTTAAAGTCCTAAGAGATTGATAGCGGAGACAGACGGGGCTTCATTTCTTTGGTGATTTTTCAGTTTTCTGGTCTGTACAGATGATAAAACCTGTCTTTCATTTGATAGACAATTTTTAATTTGTTTCACAGTTGCATGAATCCTGGAGCTAAGTTCTTAGACTTTGTTTTGTTTTTGAGTCAAGGTCTTGCTATGGAGACCAGGCTGGCCTTGGACTTACAGAGAACTGCCTGCTTCTGTCTCCCGAGTGCTGGGACAAAAGTCTTACACCACCATGCCCTGTGGTTAGCACATTTGTTCTTACTGTGACCAATAAAGTCTTCTCCCCGAGACAGACTCAGTTTTGAGTTTCATTCCTGGGATAGGGGCTTCTTTGGAAATGCTTATACAAGTCTGTATCATGTGACCACATGACTACGGCTCCCTCTGCAGCACGGTAGCTTCATGTTGTCTCAGTTCAGACATGGTGACCGGGGGCTGCTGGTCTCCATACCTTGACAGTCACAAGCGGACTCGAACCTGTAACAAGGTGTGGCATCTTGCTCACACTCCGAACTTCTTTAGCCTCTTCTCCTTTAAGCCTTATGCTCCAAGCTTACTGGGTTACAGGTACATCCGTGCATGTATGCATGCGTGTTATGCAAAGCAAAGGCCTTTGGGAATCTGCCCATAGCTGTAGCTTGTAGGGACACAGGTTCACAGCAGGGAAGGCGCCAAGGCAGGAGACTGAGCAACACCCCTTTCTCCTGAGTTTGACCCAAAGGACATGACGGGAAGAGAGAATTGATTTCCTTCAAGTTGCTCTCTGATCTCTGTACATTCGTAGTGCAATAAGTCTACCCCTTCTCCCACACAAATAAACATGAAAAGAACGCAGCTAACCCGTAAGCCAACTTGACCTCCTAGTGACCTTGATTGTAATAATTTTGCAGATTCAGGGAGGCTGAGGAAGGAGAATTGTCCGCTTAAGGCTAGCCTGGGCTTAGTCATGAGCCCCCATGTCAAACGACAAAACAGAACAAACCCAAAACAAACCAAAACAACTTATTTCCAACCCCAGTTTAACACGTGTGAAGGTCCCTCTCATCACCCTATCATCATTGCGTACAGATTCCTTTCCTTATCTCCCATTTGGAGGCGTCGGGAAAATTCCACTTCTGAGATCGCCTCTGGGCTCGTCTGTGAAGTGGTGCTCTGGGGATTGTTCTATGACCTGCATTACCATTGCTGGCTCTGGGCATGGACAGGCAGGTCACAAGGCTCCCAAGTTCCAGGTCATATCCGCCTGCTGCTCAGTGTGCAGTGACCGGGTCAAATGCTCCCCACCCCCACCCCAGTGGAGTCTCTTGCACAGGACTTGGAATTCCTCCTAAGGCCACACAGAGACAAAGATAGGGTCCCAGCTTGTCCCACAGTGGGGCCCATGGGAAGGCTTGGAGCTGGGGTTTAACTCAGTCCTCATTATGTTGTTCTGCCTGTTATCGAGGTTGTTAGATGAGGTTGGTAGTCTCTCTGTGGCTCTCAGTGCCTCCTCAGTGTCTTCCAAGACACTGAGATACCGACTGGGGGCCTCGGGTCACTTGGTAGAGTTCTCGCCTGACACTCGAGTGCCAGATACAGCACTGCAGGAACTGAATTCCGTGGCTCATGACTGCAATCCAAACTTGGGAGATGGAAGCAGGTGGATCAGAAGTTCAAAGACACCGTTGACTATTGTATATTGAGTTTGAGGTCAGTGTGGGTTACATGAGGCTCTGTCTCAAAACACACACCCAAACGCATTGGAGAGACTCATACTCCAGCTAGAACGGTGGCACTGTGGAAGGCCGTAAGCTCTAGGATAGATTTTGACCTGAAGAAGATGAGCAGGCAGCCTTCTGTGGGGCTTGACGGGAAAACAGGGTTGCCAAGTGTTGGTTATTGTGTTTTTGTGTGTGTGTTTGTAGAGCTGGTCACTGAATCTAGGAGCCCCGGGTATGCTAGGCAAGTGCTCTATGCATCGCCAGCCCCGTTTCATTTTGTGGTGCTGGGGACAGACCACAGCCTTGTTTACGGTCAGAAGTGCTGTCCCGTGGGAAATACACACTCGCTTTCTCATTTATGCATTCCTGGGGACCAAGGTGAAGGCCCAGGTGCATGTGTGCACACCCTAAGAGTGAAGGTCAGAGGTCAACTTGTAGTGTTGGTCTTGGGGTGTCCCCTACTTTTTATTCTTGTCAGGATCTCTATGGGTCCGAAGTTTTGCCATGTAGGCCAGGCTAGCCTGTCCTCGGACCTCCAGGGATTCAGTTGTCTCAGAATCTCATCTCGTTGTCCTTGCTCCGACCTTTATGTGGGTTCTGGGGATCTGAACTTAAGTCCCCTATGTGTGCAGCAAGGACTTTACCGACTGAGCCATCCCCTGGAGGGACATACCCGAGCCCCTGGGCACTGCCAAAGGGTTGGTTTATAGACTGCCTATTTCCAGAGGGAATTTGCTGTAGCTTGTAGAAAGTCACGTTCCTCTGCTGGAGTCAGTGGGGCTGTCTGAGAAATTCTTCCTTCTTGGGAGGCTGTGGGGCTTCAGCTGGTCTCTGTGGGTATGGAGAGTGGATGATGGAGGTGGAGGTCGGGTGTTTGTCTTCCTGTGTTATGGCAGATGGCCCTGTGCAGGGTTTCTT